TTGAAATTGATTCACTCTTAAAAATTCCTTCAATTCATTCCCGCTTAGTAGCAATTATTGATTTTCCCTCACCTAATCCCAATTATTTCTTTGTGCTTAAAGGATTAGGATTACGCTTGAGTAACTGCGATCCTTTTATCTGAATGAAAGTTAATGCTAACTTATCTGTTTATGCATCTTATGATTAATTATAATTAATCAATAATTTATTAATGATTAATTACGTAAAGGGGTTTAAATCAATCCATTTCACGCACACTAATTTTGCTAATAATGCACTATTATTTTCATTGCCGTATTGGTTGGTCTAAGGATTTTTTAAGCACTTGTTTAGCTACTGCCTTCGTGAGTCAATGCGGCCTCTTTCGCAGTAGCGCTCTATTTGTGCACTCGACAAAATGATTGTCAAGGAGTAGTGCGTGCTTTTTATGTTTTGCCTCTTTATCCAGAATGTATTCACCACAAATTTTTTCCTTTGTATGAAGTCGTGTGATTCTGCCCATGACGGTTGAGGAATATCAAGTGGCCCAACTTTGGACAGTTATTGAGGCTTCCAAGGATGAAACGGGTGGGGGTGATGGTGTTGAAATCCTAGTGAATGAGCCTTTCAGCGCTGGATCTCAGTACGAGCCGGACGAAGAGCTTCCAGGCAATGGAGCCTACTCAAGCGGGCAGTATACGCACAAAATCTACCATTTGGCCTCAAAAGTTCCAAGTTTCATCCGCCTTCTTGCTCCTGGGGAGGCTCTTAATGTTACAGAAAAGGCGTGGAATGCATATCCTTACTGCAGGACAGTGATTACAGTGTGTTGCATTGTTATTGTTCCCTGGATTCAACTTACATTTTTTAATTGTTTTACCCCACCTTCTCTATTGGCAAAGTTTAACGTAACTGTGCCAGAGTGCAGTTAAGCTATCACCATGGTCTTTGCATTTGCAGAATGGGTACATGAAAGATGCCTTTTTCATCAAGGTGGAGACGATGCATGTGCAGGACAAAATCGACATTGAGAATGTATGTTCGCCTTCCATATTCTGTGTGACGTTTTGTGGAATTCTATTGCAAATAGTCTCATGCCTTTAGGTGCATGAGCTGCCTCCGGATATGTTAGCGAAACGCGAGGTTATTTACGTCGACATTGCCGCTGATCTTGAAGGCGGAGTTAAGTCTGAGTGGGATCCAAAAACATTCCAGTCCAAGACGACTGGGCGTGGTCCTCTTGTTGGACCACGGTGGTGGGAGGTAAGGTCCTCTTCCTTCTATTTATATTTTATTCTCTTAACATTTTCATTCTTTTTCTGTAGAATACTGATATGCCAATAATGTGCGCCTACAAACTCGTGACCTGCAATTTCCGGTGGTTTGGCATCCAAGGCCTCGTTGAAAGTTACATCGCCAAAGTGGGTTTACTGGCGTGGGTTTCATTGTAACTGAGTTTGGGACTTATGTCGGGTGAATGTTGATCAGTTAATGCGGCCACCTGTTTTTGTATGCTCTCTCCTTAGTCATTCTTCTAGCGTTTGGAGACATCGTTGCTAATCTTTTGGCCCTAGAGGTGCTGGGTGAGCCAGCTTCTGATATCGTGACCTGCTGGTGTTTTGCTTTGGTGTCTAATTGTACTATTTCCACGCTTTTCATCTTTTCAATTTTTGTGGTCTTGGCGACGCCATCACATCGCGGAAGTAATCTTAAAATGCGCTCATG